TGCCTTACTATTGCTCAACAACATTACTGTAACTATAGTTTCCCATTTAAGAATATCATACCCACAGACTGAAATGGCCATGCTACATGTTTTTGCCAAAAAAACGTGCTACATTTCCATGTTGGATTACTCAACTACACATGCAATGCCTATGTAATGAAAATTACACCTCCCTGCAATAAGCAATGAGCATTTTCTCTGTTTAAGAAAAGTAGAGTTGCTGTTTCTGCAATACCTGTACAATGCAGAATTAGCATAGAAGTATGAACATCATTCAGTTTCACTTAGTTTGAAAGAAAGATGAGAACCAAGAAAGCCAGAGGTGTCACTCATTTTCATGAAAGTTTAGCCTGACTCAGGCAGTGTAATTCCACTAGCACTCACAGTGAAAATGCTTTAGGAGAGAACCCAACCAAAAGCATAACATCAAATTAATGAGTTACAGCACATTCATTACTCACAGCACCAGTTTCATCCTTTAGTGTTGAAATTCTTCCGCTCAGCAAACTGAAAAACAGGAAATCTTCTTTAGATGTCCCCCAGAAATGTACTGACACAAACATAGTGTAGGAACACTCTGGGTCAGTTAGCTCTCGGTTACTTTTTGGTAACACAGTTTATCAGAGCAAATAAAACAGCCAGAATGCTGGAGGAATGAAATATCTCTCCTGGACAAAGGAAAAGTGCATGCACACCTAAGAAAGGACTCAGAGCTGCATAATGGACCTTCAGATTCCCAAAGAAAATAGACACAAGGTCTGTCCTGAAAGGATGAAAAAGTTTTCCCAGGCACTTAGAGCATTTTGTAGTTTGTTAAAATCTAGTTAAATTGGTAAAAGCTGCGGAAGCAAAAAGATGAGTAAACAACCCAGTCCGTAAGGACTTACTGGACAAAAGCGGGATGAATTCATTTTTACACAATTCTACTTCAAAATTTTTCTCCCATCAGATCAAAGTACTTTTTTTCCAGACCCATATAAAAAACACAATGTTAAAATCTCATTTTACAGGTAAGATGGACACCAACACCAACACCTTTCATTTGATATCAGAGATTTTCCAGTGTTGGAAAACTTTCAAGACAACTTCCTTAGCATGTTTTGCATTGAGAGACTGGGGAATAGCATGAGACTTGCTCCTAGTGCCTTTCCTTGCATGCCTGAAGGTGACATTTCCCTGGCATTTCATTTATCTGAACATCTCAGTAAAATAGGAACAGGAAATGCTACATATGTCAGCTGCCAGGCTTTTATTGGGAAAGACATCTAGAATATAAAAATTGAATGTAAGGAAGCAAAATTGCCAGCATTTAGATCTTCCTTTGTGGGTTTAGGATTAACTGGGGTGATAAAGGTACAGCAGCTGTACAACAAAATACAAACCTGCAGAACTAGTAATGGCAGTGATGAAAAAGGAGAATGTTCAATAATTCAACAGTTTCTGTATCGCAAATTAAAAACCTCAAAACTTTGAGGTAACTCAGTGTAGAGCAATAACTCAAAAAAAACCCCCAAATCAAACAAAACCAAAAATGTTAAAGGTACTGCTAATGCATATGGCCAGTAAGATCACAAGTGGTAAGAGTCACAGCAGTCCAGTGGCATGCCCCTTTCCTGCAGACTGGAGGTTATTTCCACAATACTCCATCTAAAAAGTGACAGCTCCTCAGAAAATGTAAGCTGCCATGGCTACATTCAAGCAAGAAGGTACCTCCTGGGTAACAGCTTACTTCAAATTAATCTGTCCCATTGCTTGAGATGGGGGAAGAAAGCACTAATATTATTTACACCATAAATTAAGAGCTGAGAGCATAATTTTTTTAAAATGACTGTTAATTTGAGTTTGTTAAATGTGATAACTTATTACAAATACCTGGAAAAAAATGAATCTGGAATCCACATCAGTGTTTGTCTTGATGTGCTGAACCTATGAAAACAAAGTTACAAGTTCAGAATCAACTGTAAAATCGGAAAGAAACCTGTTTTATCTAAAAATCCTTGATTTGTCCAACAAAGCTAATATCAAACAGGTTTGGGAAGTTTGAGATGCTTAAAATGCCTTCAACAAGTCAGGAGTTGCAGATTCTTTGCACAGATTGCCCTTAAAACATGAAGCAGGACTGTCTGGAAACCACAAAAGTAACATTCCTTGTATGTTTATAACACACTGTCCCAAACATCCTGGATTTCCTGGTTCTCACACTTCAACATTAATGCTTGCAAAAAAAACAGGTCCACAAAACCCAAATACTGCTCCACACACAAAACCCAAACAGTAAAATATGTATTTATCATCAGTGTGCTGTATTTGTCAATAACTGCACACTACTCTGCTGCTTTTACTTAGGACTGAAAGGGTGCTACATTATGCACTGCAAAAGACTACAGTGAGCTTCAAGTTAATATTTTATAGGAACATGAATTATTTGCCATTTTGGTATTTGGGCCCCTCTTGGGGAGGAGGGAGGAGCAATAACAATAACAGTTAAAAGAAAAAAACCACCATTATTTACTCTGAATCATATTGTGAAATAATACAAATTATAATATTCCTTATGATGCCAGACAATACTTTACATAATAAATAACTATGGATTATTTTATTCTACTTCTGGTTTTGATTTACTATGAAGGATGACAACTGAACTGGCAGCTTGGACAATGAGCTCATGCTCTGCATCACTCTCTGGCTGTACATATCCTCTTACTAGTGCCACAACTAAGAAACCACCGGTGACCTCTTCATTAATAGAAAACAAAAAGGATACGCAAAAGTGAAATTCCATTACAATTTGCTATCTAGTACAGGATTACAAAATACAAAATATATATAAAAGATATTTATATCTTTATATATATATATATATTTATAAAAGAATAAAAATACTTATTCATAATTTATCTAATTTTCACTGCTAGTATTTTCCAGGTTTGAAGGGGAAAATAAAAAGTCAACAAACCTCATTACTTTATGCCCCCTAAGAGGCAGAAACACAGAGGCTACGTGGAACTATATAAATCATGGATTCTCCATCGGCAAACATAACAATGGCAAATCTGTTCTTAACAGAAAACCTACAGTGACAGTGTTCTAAGCACAAGCATGCACAAAGCCTTTCCTGAATAAAAATAAAAAACACTTCTCTAATACACTTCTAAGTAGTTTTGCTCAGCTTTTCTTACCAGTAATACAGCTCACTACCTCCGTCTACTTTAAGAGCAAGGGATGATTCATTTAACTATATTATAGCATGTGAAAACAATGAATTACATTAATTTTATCCAGAATTAATCTAGATGCTGCTTGTTAATATAGGGATTGATGCAGCATCACCATCATCCTCTTTCAATTTTATCAGCATGTTCAGACAGCCCCAGGATTTCCTGCCTATAATTTAGCACTATGGTTCCAGTTTAGTAAGCAATAGCTCATTGTAACATATACTTTAGAACTTTTAATACATAGATATTAATCTATGTAAACAACCAGACAGAGTCCTCCTTTCCAGGATGCAGAAAGAAGCTTAGCCAGCAACATTTACATGCATTGGTGTATCTGCAGCTCCATGCAGCGGTCAGACAGGCATCATAGAAGGCAAACCCAGGGCAAAATCTTCAAAAGACCCTTAAGCATATGCCAGTTTAAAGTTATTTAAAAGAAAATATAAGCAACTGGAAAAAGACGTGCCAAGTGAAAGTTATAAAACAACTATTTTCATTGTCTAGTGTCCTTGTGGAGTTACATTGTAACCAGAGGGAGATACAGAGGCAAAAGAATTCACCCAATTTGATACAGTAATTTCTGTGAATGTTAACTTGCAAGGGACTCTGTTCACAGTAAAGGAATTCACTGAAGTTGTGACCAGGAAGCGACGGAGCCATCACACACAACAGAGAAGTCCTGACCGTCCCAGGGAGCAGTGGAGACCTGTCTGAGCATGGAAAAGCTGGGGTCTCTGTAGTACGTGCTCCAAAGCATAACTTCGTGTCAGAAACAGAGAGGAGTGCTCATTTCCTCTTCTCATACAATTCTACAAACAACACCAAGAGTTTCAGGTTTCTAGTGAGAGTAATGAGAACTACTGAAGAGGAGGAAATGTGTACAGTACCCTACTCTCACCCACCTGCCGTGCACATCACCCACTCCACTACCAGCTAAGAGTCACCCGCCTTTGCAAACTGAAAAACGTGGCTCAGGTGTAGTTTGCAAAGGATATGGGCACTACCAAGGGAAGCTGAGCTTGCAAAAGACCAAAACTTCTCACAGAGATGTACAATAGTACAGAGTCTCTCTGTTAAAGAGGAAATATCCATGCACACATTTCCTATTGCTTACATCCAAATGTTGACTAATTTGCCTCATTCTTCCCACTTCTCTGTGTAGGCAAGCCCTCTGAGGGTGTGTATTTGTTCCCTGATTAGTATCCTTTCCATAATTCTCTGTTGTCTGCAGAGCCATTTAATAAGGAAAGCAGCTTTAACCTTCCACAGGTAATTAAATCCTAAAAGATAAACTGGCCTATAATTTCAGATACAGAGTTCATTGAAGAACCTTATGCAGCATAACATGAAATCTGGTCCAAGCCTACATCAAAGTAATCCCGAAAGCATCATTACAGGTGAGTTTCGCTTAGCAAGTTACAAGCAGTTTCTCTGGGTTGAACCAAGTTCTTAATATCTCACTAAAGCAAAGGAATTCTGCATCGACTTCTATGGCACTCTAGTTTAAGAAGGGCTGCAGCACACAATTTAGCTATCAGATCAAGTCCATGCTCTGAGTAATGCAAGAAAATTCTTAAAATAGCAGTAGTAGTTCCTACTACTTATAGCTGGCTCCACGTTGTGCACATTACTTGGGAAAACACATTACTTCAGTTTCCACTAGCTACAGCAATCTGAATGATTTCATGCTCGAGCATTTTGACAGGAATGTTTGCAGTATTTATCACGCAGATTCTGACCACAGCTGTCCCACAATTCTCTGCCTCAGCCTGCCAAAACGTCTACATCTGCCAGCTTCCACACTTCCAGCGTACATTTGAAAACAATACAGCTCTTTATTCTCGTTGATACCAGCGGTATCAGGTCAACGATTTTAATCTCTTACTCTCTGAGACTGTTCACTAGAAGCCTACGGATGTGATGGCAAAGCAAAGCGTCTATCCTTGAAGAGGCAGGATTCCCAAAGTCTCGAAGACGTACGTAGAGCAGGCTGCCCTGGCATCGCTGGCACGCGGAGCTGCCGAGCCGCCCCGGGCCCGCCTCGGGGTACCCCCGGCCCCCGCCGGGATAAGGCTCATCCCGGCCGCAGAGCCCCGCGGGGCCGTCCCGGGCGGGTCAGCACCCCCGCCGGGGCCGGGCGGGCTCCGCTCGGCGCTGCCCCTCGCTCGCCGCCCGCCGCCACCGGCCCAGGCCCGGCCCCGCCGCTCACCTGGTGCCGCCCACGTTGAGCTGGATGATCTCCCCGCTGCCGGCGCCGCCGAAGCCGCCGCCGTTCCCCGCCATCTTCCCCGCCGCCTGCTCCGGCCGGCGCCCGCCGCCGCCTCCCGCCGGGACCTCGCGGTCGAGGGAAGCAGCGGCGGAGCCGGGCGAGGGCGGCGGGGAAGGGGGCGGCGGGGGCTCGCCCGGCGGCGGCCGGTGCAGGGTGGGCGGCCGGCCGGGCTGCGGCCCCGCGGGCTCCCGGCGCTCAGGCCCGGCCGGGGGCGGAACGGGCCATGGCAGCTCCGGCAGGAGGAGCGGGGCCGGCGCGGGCCGAGAGGCCGCGGAGCGGAACGCGGGCGGGGCGGGAGGCGGGAGGCGGGGCCGGCCCGGCCGCGGCGGGAGGAGCCGGCAGCGCCCCGCGGGCCGCGACGCGCCCGGAAGGGGCCGGCGGCGCCCGCCCGCCCCGGGAGCGGCGTCAGGCCCGGGGCGCGGGAGCCGCGGCACCGGCGGCGGCGTCTTGAGTGGTTTTAAAGGAACGAGGAGCTGCCCCCGCCGCCATCAGGCGCCAGGCGCTCCCGCCCAAAATAAAGAGAAGGGCAGCGCGGCTGGTGGAAGATCTGGGAGCGCAAGTCCTGCGAGGAGCAGCTGAGGGAGCGGGGGGCGTTTAGCCTGGAGAAAAGGAGGCTCAGGGGTTGACCTTATCGCTCTGTGCAACTCCCTGAAAGGAGCTTGGAGCCAAGTGGAGGTCGGTGTCTTTCAGGCAACCAGTGACAGGGCAAGAGGCCACGGCATCAAGCTTCAGGAGGTTGAGGTTGGGCTTTGGGATGAATTCCGTCACGAAAAGGGTGATCAGACGTTGGAGTGAACTGTTCAGAGAGGTGATGGAGTCACCATCCCCGAAAGTGTTAAAGGAAAGACTGGATGTAGCACTTGGTGCCATGCTTTGGTTGATATGGTGGTGCTCGGGCATATGTTGGACTTGAGAGGTCATTTCCAACCTCATTCTGTGAAAGCCATGTCGAGAGTGAGGTCTTACTGGCTTTGCCTTCCACCCACAGGCACCCCAGGCTTAGGAGCTCAGACCCCTGGTCAATGCTAATTCCGTATGAGAGGCATGGAAACAGAAACTTCCGTTTAAAGCCTGGGTTGCAGCCTGCAATCATTAATGAAATTCACCAATTAAATGAAAAAAAAATATTAGACATGACATATCCAAGCCCACAATGCAGGCTTTTCAGGGAAAAAATCTATCACATCACCCCATCAAGAAAAATTGAGGTGGAAATAAATGATGGTGTGGTTAGTAAAGGAAGTCATAAAATCATGGTTTATATTTTTGAGGGCAGACTGATCAATTCCTGCACCCAAACAAGGAATACAATAAGCAAACCTGAGCCTAAATTTTATGTGAAAATTACCTAGACGTTGAAAACCCACACGGAGGATCCAGCCTGTTTAAACCTGATGTTTTTCCATGGGACTAGATAGACTTCAAGCATGCTCAAAAATTGTTTTGAAAACACTGTGAGCCTAGGAGTAAACTGCTTGAAGTCACCTGGCTGCTTCCTCGCTTGCATACCTTGGAAATTAAAGCTTTATTCCTCTAGTCATATTATAGAGCCAAATTGAACAAAGCTATGAAGATACCCTTGCCAGACCCTGAAGTTTTTTGGAGGAGTGACTTCTCTATCACAAGACCCCATCGCTGTCACAGAGAAGAAACAAGCTGTGCTGGGTGTCTGGAGCTAAGTGTCTAACCAGCATTGTGTGTAAAAGTCAAATACTTCTGTAATGCATTCTGAATATGTTAGTACAGCTGCTTCTGTGGTGTGTTTTGCCTTACAGCCCAAGAGAAAAAGAAGATTAAAAAGCAGCCAAACATGTCACCAAGCCCTAGGCCTGCATGCTTTCTGTATGCTTTGGAGTCTAGCTTGCATTTCTTCTTGAGCTCAAAAATAGACATGCTTTCAGATTTCTGCTGAGTTGTCTTCTCCTTTCACGGAAATTACAATAATAGGAAGTAATAAATGTTCAGATGTGCTGTCAGGCACAGAAGGAGATTAACTTCTTCTCTTATATCCTGGTGGAGTCCTCTAACCATTAAAATATTGGATAAAAGAGTGGGATGGGACATATCTTGTTGTTGAGAGGAGGACTGACACTCCCTACTTCAAGCCCTCACCTTTGCTCCTAAACCATGTTTGCCTCACAATCTCTAAATACCATAAAATGTTAGTTTTGCTTATTCTTAAATAAAACTTAACTGGCATTTGTCACTCAGTTAATGAAAGTCCATGTGGGAAGAAGTAATGCAAGAAAATCAGCTGTGCATTGATGCATTCTCTGACAGCTGCATTCCTCCGACACTTCCACTAGATGCCTCTATTGTTATTAAACTTCCGAAATGTACTTCCTGTTTAGTCTAACCATTCAAGGCATGTTATCAAGACCTTTTCTCTTTATATTACAGCTAAAGTACATGATTTGCAATCATTAAAAAATCCCCAAGCCCATTTTAAAGCACACATCACATCAGCTTTACACAATATTAATAAACAAAGCAACTTTATGTTGCTAGTTTCTATCATCTTCTAATTAATTTATAACCCTCTCCCAGCAACCAGTCAACGAAAGGTCACACGTGGACCCATATGCAAAAAGTAGACATCATAATAAAATATATGTACTTTTGAGTAATAATTGTACAGTTTAGGAAATAAAGAGGCCCATGCAATGGGTTATTGGCTCTGTGATGGTGCACACTGAAATTCAATTTCTTTAATTGTAATAATTCAAGCTAAGAGTACAAGGAAGGATTTCCTACCCACTTTTTTTCACTTGGGTATTAGTTCAGTTTTCTTGTGGAACATCCTCTGTCCTGGCTATGAAAGTAGTTAGTTATTCTGTTCAAAAGAAAGCAAATTCTGCTGTATAAATTGTATTAAGACACACCTCCCAGTGGTACCCCTGCCCTTAAAGCTCCTTAAAATAAAATTCTAGGAAGGAATTGCTGCTCTTTGGCAAATTTGCCAGGTACCTGTTTTGCTAAGTTATTAACAGAGAAGCAATGTGGCTCCCCAAGGAGAATTCCTTCTCTGCCTCCTAAGTAGATCCATAGAGTGAGAGATTTTCTCACAAAACCTGAGACCTTTGTGACGGAAATCTTGTCACTATATCTTCCTGTAAACTGTCAATCTTGATTGCTGGTGCTACACGATAACAATGCCAAATAAAAACATTTTTACCATCTGCTCTAAAGGGAGGAGCCTTGGAACCTCCCTAGTAGAGTCACTCTGGAAAATGATGCCATGAGTCACTAGGAACAATGGCTCATGAATGCTCCGTTTTTCCTCAGCTTTGCTTAAAATCACTGTGCTTGAAGGGTCTAAAGTTGGAAGGTAATTCACTTAGTAGCTGGTGTCCAGGAAAGAGTGCTAGAATAACTTTAAATAGGCCACAGGGGAGAGAGGAAGCTCATGGGATTAGGTGGAGTATGCATTTCTTCATTCCTGAACATATGGTTGTTGCTTGCAAATTAAGAAACAGAGTTTCTTTTCAGCATCCAGATGCAGTGCTGCTCAGTGAGTGGCTACCAAGGACATTCCCTTTGCCCAGAGCAGCTCCACCCCACAGCTGAATAAAAGGGATGTTTGCAGAAATGTTTATAAAGGCCTCTTTTTTCCCATCTTAAAATAGAATGAAAGGAAGGAGATGATCCATAATCAGGTCAGAAACAGCTTCCTAGAAGGGGAAGAAAGATGTATTTGAGTGTCCTGAATCCCTGGAAAATTATTAAAACCTTCATTTTCAGAAAAAAAAATAAATTACTGAGCATCTTTGTGCCCGTTAATTCTAGTAGAGATTTTTACTTTGGTCCCACACAGAATTTGTTCTCAGTTATCAAGTGTGGGATGTCCACTACTCCTGCTACAGACCACTACAGAGTTCTGCTCCCCATCTGACTGCCAGGACCACATGCCACTCAACAGCTTTTCTCTCAGAATTTCTGTGTTTGATATGTTCCCCTGCTAAATTAAAAAAAAAAAAAAAAAAAAATTCAAGTCTACCGTGTTCTTGAAAATTTCCTCTTCTTTATAGTAGTCTACACAAATTTATTATGCTATTAAGTGTTAAAATAATCACAATGTAATAACTTTCAGTATATTCTGATGGGGCTGGGTGAGCTGAGACAGCTCAAGTACAGTAAAATCACAAGTGATTTTGCTAGTACATGCAGTGTCCACAGCGTGGGGCTGTTTGCTAGTACATGTCTGTTGTGAAAGCCCAGGGTTTGTTTTTATTTCAGGGCAACAGAAGAACACCACTGCTACAGACACTGGTTTGATTTCAAAACCCCTTGAAGTTTGTGTGCAAAGGATGCTTTGTGTTCATCATTTAAGTTATTCAGCTAAAATTTTCTACATTTCTGTTTGGAGTTGTATTCTGTTTATGTTCTGGATGTAGTTAGTAATCAAATATCTTCCCCAAGATTGCAGTCTATCCTACACAAACAGGGTTAGATTGTAGTAAAGGAGCAGAGCTTCATTTGTGTTGGACTGCTGCACATTTAGCACCCTGTTCTTCAGTCTGAGTTTGTAAGAGTCACAGAGAGGATTAAACATGAGACTTTATAAAGAGCAAAACACAAACGTTGAATATAAATATATCAGATATAGCTGTGAAAAACTTTGATATACTCAGTTATGTTTTTCTCTTTATGTTCCTTCTGTCATTTTTCAGCCCATCAAGGTCAATTATGCTCAAGCATTGTAACACTTGTTTTGTAGTTCCTTGTTCAGTTGCAACAGTGGAAGAGTTAGAGACAGACACTTCATATTCTGTATGTGAAGTTGATACTGGAACACCAAAAAGCTTTTTGCCTTCTGTGAGCTAAAAGAGCACCTGTCATTTGGTCTAATCTACCAGCAGAATAATTCTGTGTACCACCTTCTTCCTCAGTTAGACTCTTCCCTGTGTTTGTAATACATAATACATCTGAATGTCTTCCTGAAAGGCTGAAGGGCAGCCATTGGATTCCAAGCCACTGCATCAGCAGGTGACCTTAGCATTTAATTCCCTCTCCATGTGAAATTCATGCCATCTCTGTGATACATTCTTGTCCACATTCATTTTACAGCCATCTAATTGCCATTAGAAAACAATTCTTCATTTGCCTTCTAATGAAGAAATGTTGAAGTGAGTATTCAGCTGAATATTTGTGGGCTGACCTACTCACTGCTATTTAAAAACCAAAGTCTTATACCATACAACAGCACAAGGGGGCATGAGTTTTCAAAATATTTTCTTGTTTGGTTTTCATTGCTAGCTTTGCCTGAAGAGATACATCCTACTTCCTAAAAGTTCTCCCAGCTTGATCCTCGGTATACTCATTGAATTGATGGGTACTTAAACCCAGATATCCAGAAAGCTCACCTGTGAGCAAAGTGCCTTGAACTTACCTTGCCTCATTTACTGCAGAGTTCAAAACTGTGCTGCTTCCATTTTTACTCACTGATTTTTTGAATGACACATATCTGTGTGAACACCTTGGTGAAGCTTTTGGAGGTTCAAAATACAAATTTAAACATCAATACCAATCTGTTCTTCATCTCTGTTAATATTTTAAACAGTAACACCTATAATGTTGGCATCTTGCCTAAGTGACTGTCAACCAACAAAATATATGTGCTAGCAAAACATATGTGAGTGCATGTATATATGTACATATATATATACACTTAATGCTTGTTTCTAGATGGGTAAGAAAAAGTCATTCTAGCAAATATTTTATTTACAATAACTTTAATAGCTAAATTAGTGCCTGAAATTTTTCTCTGGAGTGGAAGACTGCTCTTGTCTGTTCTACCCAAAATTGTTGGAGGAGGAGGATCATTTGTATGCCCTGTACATCTCTTCATGAGAGCTTTATAATTATGTTGGCTGCCATCTGAATATTCTGCTTTCCCTTGAGTGAGTGAATATATATAACTTTATTTATTATTTCAAAGGTGCGTTCAGTGACAGGTTCTTTGATTTACATCACAGTACAGAATAAACCTCTGAAAAAAAAGCAAATTAAGCCGTGCTTATGGCTGTTTCACCAAAAAGAGTTTGAGCAGTCATTTGAGAAGAGCAATGGAGTTGGAGCACACCAGTGAGCTCATGTAGCACTACCATCCTTGCTGTCGATGCAGAGGCTGCATGAGCAGACAGGGAGGGGGATTGACAACTGGCTGAACAGCCAAGCCCAGGGGTGGTGATCAGTGGCATGAAGTCTAATTGAAGACCCATTCAAAATACATTTAGATATGTCCTGGGGCAACCAGCGATAGCTTGTCCTGAACAGGGGGCTGGACCAGATGATCTCCAGAGGTCCCTTCCAACCTCAACCACTCTGTGTTCCTCTTAATATGGCTGTGTATTTTAAGAACAGCTTTGGCTTTTCAAACCACGGAGAAGCATGGTTTCAGAGCTTCCTTTGGTGGCTAGTGGGCTTACCATTCTTTGTGACAATGCCTCTTCCTAAAACACATTTTAAAATCCCTTATCTTAAATAATGAGGTTTAGGTAATGTTGAAACTAGTAAAACCTTCCATACAATTAAAAACAGAATGTGGGTTTTTTGGTAGTAGCCAGTGCAGGTACAGCATCTCTAATTTCAATTTACCAGATTCTGTTCCTTGCAGAATGATGCTCTCTCGTTACTTATCATATTGCCAGTCTTCAGGCATTTAGGCTGAAATTTTCCAGGTTGTGTTTCTTCCATGGTCTCTGTTTGGAAACTGAGAACACTGAAAACTGCTCTGGATGTCCAAAATAGGGAGGCAAGATCTCATCTTAGAGAGGCTAACAATTCTTGGGTTTATTTTAAATATTTAACCATTACTTCAAATTCAACAAGATAATCTCCTTTTAATGTGGGGGAATATAATCTAATGAACAGCAACTGAAATTTGACCACAGTATTAGTATCTGAAAACATAAATCACAGCTGTTCAAAACCAACCTAAACTTTTAAAGCATACTCTGAGAAACATCACTTGGAAAGACTTATCAAATTTACAAATGCCCTTAGCATATTTTTATTGGACCAATAGATATTTCAATGCATTTTAAACTAATTTCCATTTATGAAGCAGCTATCCCTTTCTTCATCCTGAAATAAAGTATAATTAGGAGTCTTTCAGGGAAAAAATTGGAAGCAGTGATTAGACCTGTACATGCAGGTAGAGAGAACCTTGATCTCAGCTGCTGTGCAACACAGCTGCTTCTTCCAAACTGGCCTGGGTGGTTCATAAGTAGAAAGACCCAGAATCTAAAGAGGGGAAGAGACAGATTTTGTAGGTCACCTGGAACACACTTTACAATTTTACCTTTCCTTTATGTGTTCACACTATTCTCATCTTCACTGATGATGATTTCCAGTGGTGGAGTTCTTTTATTGTGTTTATCGTCTCTCATATCTCAGCGTGCATGGCAGAAACCCCTGTTATTTTTGCATGGTTCATTAGCAGTATGTCAAACAACAAGAATGTTTTAAAATACAAAATCCACTTCTAACAATATATAAATTAAAAGGCAAAACTGCATTATTTTCACACCTTGCCAGAACAATTTTTTCTTACCACAGAAGCAATTAATGTTGCATCATCTTTCTTTTCATATTACAGTCACAGTGTTTGACTCAAGAAATGCAATTTTCAGTTTTCTGTGTTACCATTACATACACACATGAAATCGTATTCAGAGGAAAAAAAAAATTTAATTTTGAATAAAACTTCTGAAATCTCTTGAGAAGCTAGAAATGAATAATAAAGAAACCATTCACTGCTTCTTGAAATGGACTCATTACAATGAAAATTGCCAATATTTTTTTCCTTTGGTGTTTCTGGAAAAAATAAATCCCTAGAAATGCTGTAAAGATAAAAAGTGTCTTCCATAGCATATTTCAAGTTTGCACAGCAAAACTAAGACTTCTGTTCAAAAATCTATTAAAACATTATCTTACCTAATATTACTAGAGGGACAAAAAATATTAACTATGGAAGGTTTTTCATTACACAGAAGTCTCCAGTTATGGCTCAGACAGAGACCATTACTGTCATTTCACATTTATATCAATTAGTGTTCTATCCTTACCTTGCATACTGCTTTTCAGCTTGTCATCAGATATTGAAATAGAAATGTGAAAAATTTCCTTGGGGGTATGGTTTAGGGAGGCAGAGAAAGTAATTTAGAGAAGATGTTTGAGGGAATGAGTTGTGAAAGAGTGGAAGCCACATTTTGGAGAAAGTATAACAGTTAATATTGGAAGTTCCTTGGTTTAAGTAGTATTAAAAAAAAACAAACTGAGGGATCTCTCAAACTTTAGTGATAGCAATAAAAATACAAAGATATAAATTAGCAAATAGAAGAATAGATGATGGTTCTTATTTGCAGTATGTGACCCAAGTAAACAGAAGAAAATTAATCTGAAATATAATAAAGACATAAAAAAGAATTTTATATTTTGATTAATATATCCTGCTTTAAAACAAAATTAGCCATGCATGTGCCTGATGAAAATGCCCACAGTTACACTACATGTTTATTATAAGCAAAATGTCACCTCATGCCAGTAAGAAACACATAATAACACTCAATAGATTTCTGATACAGGATTTCGAATTGTTCTATGATACATTTACTTTCAGATATTGGAAATCACTGTACTGGCTTAAAAGGGCCTCATTTTCAACAGGTGGGAACCTTGCTGTTTCTAATTTGTCTTGAAAATATCCCCATCTGAAAATTCAAATATTTAGTTATGTGAACTGGTAAGTTACTTTCAAAATCATGACCAAAATGTCCAATATGCTTTAGCAGTGCCCCAGGTCAGAGTTAATAAAATTCCCCCTATGGCTTTTTCACCCCTAGGCTGGCAGAGAAATCCTATATAATTATAGGTTACAAGCTGGTTGATGGTGACTTCATGAGTCACACAAAAGGATAATGAGACATTTCTTTTATAAAATGCATTTAATGGGTAATGTTTCGACTTATTCCTTTCTCATTTAAATGGATACTTTAGCTTTCTATCTCTGATTTCCTACCTTTCCAGAAAAATGCTTCACATACTACAATATACATGCCAGTTTATGAATCATAGGCTTTTCTGATTTTTGTTAAATTGTCAGTTTAATAACACAAGATGTGAAAAGACAGTCAACACCATATCAGATAAAATGCCAATAGCAGCTCACTGGGAGTGAAATAGCAGCAGTGTGGTTTTCACTCCTAACTTCTTCATAGAACTATGTTCCTTAATGCCATTCAGTAATCTATTCCCATTTAAATGAAATTCACACCTGATATGGAAAAGACTTAAATTTAAAATGCTTTAATGTAATAATATATAAGTAAATAATACATAAATTGTATTTTCACATAATATTATCTGCACTTGTGGGTTTTTTTCATTCTTAATTCATAGGGTTATGAAATGTTCTTTTGTTTTCAAACAGCTGGGGATAAAATTTCTGGTTTGTAAATCTTCAAATTGATTAATTAGGCATCTAATATATTACCATATTGCTAATATCAGAAATATTATATTTTAAACAACAATAAAAAAAAGTTTATTGCATTTCTCCAGGCTTGCTCCTCTGTGTTTCTCCAATTACCCCATGCTAGCCTATTTATCAGATTAGCTCTTTTTCTCCAGCCACCCATCCAGCACAGGCTCAGAAGGCAGTCAGCACTACTCCAAGCCTCTTACTGGCATATGCCACACACAAACATTCCAGTTACTGCTTCCTGTGGCCACCAGCTTGTGTTCCAGACAAAGAATCCAGTTTCCAACAAATAAAATAATATTTTCTTTCCTATTCAGGATCCCAGGTTTGAACTGAGAGCCCCAACTGCAGTAAAGGGATACTCTTTAGTCTGATCTGGACTTAATGCCATGGTTATAGTAGGTTTGCTAACAGTGCAGTGCAGATGCTTTAATAATTTTCAGGCCTCCTTAAAGACCACAGTATCTCCTTGTCACCCTGCTGATGACAATGGTCATTGTCATGGTCCTTCTTTATATCCAGGCTGCACTGACCACAGTTAAACAACTAAAATGTGTCTTCCCAAACCTTGTCACTGACTGGATATCTTATGCCTGGAAGCACAACCATACTTTATCCTATGTAAAATAAATGTGCTGGTTTGGGTTTTTTTTCTTCATGTCCAGTTCCCGTGGAGCTTCCTTTTCTATGAGTTACATAATTTAGTGGCTTCAGGAGGTTCTTTTATCTTTTTCAGTCAAGCCCAAAGAAATGCATAACAATTATTAAGGGAAGACATAAAATTATTCATGCTGTGTGTGGCAAATGGGTGAAGATTATCAGTAATACATTCAGGAAAATTACTTTTGTTCATGATAGAAGCACTATAAAGTCTAAGATATTATTTGTTTTCTAGTAAAGATCTGAGCTTGATGCCTATTTAAAACACATTGTTTTAATTTCATTAACAACATTTTTTGATGATGAATAATCTTACAGAAAACTCACAGCTATTTCTTATTATACTAAAGTCTCTTAAAATTGAAAGGAAACTTAAA